CTTATTGTATAAACTCTGTTCTATGAATCCTCTAGGTTTTACTCCTGCTATTCAGAGCCCACCTTTTGGAATTCAAACAAAACAAATCTATTATCTCTGAATACATTCCATCTTTTCCAACTCAGAAGAGCTTTGACTTTCAGACTATCGACTTTGCAATAGATTTATAAAAGTCGACCTGGGAACTCAAACCCTAAGAATTTCACTCTTTATTCCTTTTAGATTATTTCTTGTGTTCCCTTCTAGGGTAATATGACTTGGCCTCTCAAACTAGTTATATGGGTAGGAAGGTTCCAGGATACAAGGAATAAAGAACTATAGAAAGTTAAACTACATCTGATATTCTTTCAAAATTATAACAAAATGCATAAACAATTAGGCACTAAGATAAGATAACAGATGGCAAGATTCAAGATTAGAAATATAGCCTCCGGGCCAGGCGCAGTGGCTCATGCCTACAATCCCAGCACTTTGGGAGGCTGAGGCGGGTGGATCACAAGGTCAAGAGATCGAGACCATCCTGGTCAGCATGGTGAAACCCCGTCTCTACTAAAAATACAAAAATTAGCTGGGCATGGTGGCGTGCGCCTGTAGTCCCAGCTACTTGGGAGGCTGAGGCAGGAGAATTGCTTGAACCCAGGAGGCAGAGGTTGCGGTGAGCCGAGATTGCGCCATTGCACTCCAGCCTGGGTAACAAGAGCGAAACTCGGTCTCAAAAAAAAAAAAAAAAAAAGAAAGAAATACAGCCTCTTGTGCTAATTTGCAAAGCAATAGAAATGAAACATTTCAACTTTTTTTTCAGAATGAGGCTTCCTTTTTAATATGCTTACTCTTACACATTTACAACAAAAATACCACTTCACTATTGATATAGGTTAGGAAACACGGAATTTGTACCTAGAAAAATGAGTATTCTTGAATGTAGAATTTCTTCTCAAGTTTCATAGAAAATAATTAGAGTGACTTTCCTCATAGTTCTGGCACTCATAGAAACCAGATTCCAATAACAATCAAGGCTTCTCTTTCCCTAGACACAAGGTATTTCCATTGAAAATAAACTTATGTCAGTGTGTTGTCTAAGACTTTGCTACTCAAAAGATGGTGCAGAACTGCATGCAGAGTCATCAACTGAGAGCTTCTTGGAAATGGAAGTTTTTTAGTTTCTCCTCAGATCTAATAAATTAGCATCTACATTTTAATGGAATGGATCCCCAAGTAAAGTGTCCGCACAAACTTTGAGAAGCACTAGCCTAAGAAATTACATACTTGGTTTCTCTTCTACGAAAAAACACAGCAGACATTTTATTAAAGATAGTTGTAACCAATGTAGTAATTAAAAGCTTTTATCTGAAAATAAAAGGTAATGTTACTGCCATGGTCACACCTTGCAATGCTGAAATATGTACTTACCTAACAAGATACAGCACCTAATCACTGATGACCCAAAAATACAGAATATGAGTGAGACTGAACTATCTGTTCTCAATCTATTATTTTCATGCTAACATACATTATACCAAGTGTAGTGGCAAGACAGCATCTGACTCGGTGAAACTGACTTGGTGAATTATTCATTAGCACTCACTGTGTTTGCTAACTAAATTGACTGTTGTGGCCTAAATATTTTGGTGTCTTTAAATATTTTCCTGAGAAATTTCCTCATGATTTCTCTTGTATGTTGTGTGTGTGCGAGCATATGCATGGTTTTCAAGCTGTCACAAAACTGAATAGTATAAATAAAAGAAAAGGCATTAAAGAATTATTTTCAAGACTTTAAAAATGTTCATCGCAATAGCTCATACATTGATTGAAGTTGTGTTAATGAATATTACTTACTTGAACGTGATCATATTGACGATCATACCATAAAGCTCCTGAACCATTCGTGGCATGTCTTTTCAGTAGTCACAATAAAATCTTACTGTGATCATTTCCCATCTCACTCCCTTATGCAACAATGCATGGCTATGTCTTCAGAGCCAAAGTGAAATTGAGAGCTCGGCAATCATTCCGTAATTTCCAGTGCCAGGTATGATCTTGGCCCTAGTGGATGCTTATAAACATTTATTGATAATGATGTCTTATAAAGCTGCCACTATTTGCTATGAACTACCCATATTGCCTTTTGGAATTGTGCATGTTTTCTGAATAACTCTAAACTTCATTTTGATTCCTCAACCATGGCAGGTCTGTCTATCTTGAATTAGTACTTCTAAACTGCTGTGGAATACCAAATTTTGAAGGCTTAATGTGCTATTCTACGTACAGTCATCTAATTCTATCTATGAAAATAATATAATACTGATGAACTGTGAAGCGCAAACCTCAAAATTCATTCTAAATTATTTCTCAGGCAGAGGAAGTGGCTTGTTCCAAGCCATCTATAATTTCTTTGCTCTTGTAGTTGATGGCACATCATGGTGAAGCAGCTGGTTAGGTTGGAAATATAATAGAAGGCAATTCCACCACTGTCACCATCCCTTTCATGAAATTCACTGATCTAGAAAGAATGAAAACAATATCTGCTGCCTATTAATGGTTTAGTGCCTATGATATGGTTTATCATATACCATGCTAGGTCTTCATTTGTTACCTCAGTTAATCCTAAAGACACCTTATGAGGTGTTATTATCATCATTATTCATGTTTTACAGATGAAGAAACCAAAGTCAAATAGCTAATAAGTATTGCAACCAGGATTCAAAGCCAAGCTGTTCTGCTCCAAAGCCCACCTCTAAGTCTTTCATTACCCTGAAAGACTGATATAGTTCCCTGACTGAAAATATCCAATCCAAATTAAATAACACTGTGTAGGTGAATATAATCAGCCTTTATATATCTAAAATAGATACCTACACTGTTTGAGTCATAATTGATACACATGAAGTGAAAACACCTGGTACAAAATATAAAATGTAAATGAAATAAGAATGACTATGCCAGCCAGGCATGGTGGATCATGCCTGTAACCCCAGGACCTTGGGAGGCCGAGGCCAGCAAATTATGAGACCAAAAGATTGAGATAATCCTGGCCAACATTGTGAAACCATCCTCTTTACTAAAAGTACAAAAATTAGCTCGGCATGGTGGCATGTGCCTGTAGTCCCAGCTACTCGGGAGGCTGAAGCAGAATTGCTTGAGCCTGGGAGGTGAAGGTTGCAGTGAGCCGAGATCATGCCACCACACTCCAGCTTGGCAACATAGTAAGACTCTGTCTCAAAAAAAAAAAAAAAAGAAAAAAGAATGACTATGCCATTCCCATTGGATAATATCTAATCTCACAGACATCAATGCAAATGACCAAATACACATAAAAGTAAAAATTTGTATTCTCTAAATAGGGCATACATGTATTTTACATTCCAGTTTTCACCTACACCGATGGATGTCTACTCTTTAGACATACGAAGAATTATTTTTGCCTAAGAAAATCTTTGAGACCCACTGAATTCAGAAGTCCACTTCAGGAATTCATTCATTCCAGGCGCATCGATATCATTATGGACTGAAAAGCTTATTAACTATAATCAAGAAGGTCCTTTTGGAATTATCTTTCTTAGCCTACTTCCAAGGGAAATCATTTGTGGGTTTCTTCAGGGCAATGGTTATCAACCAAGTGCAGAGACTCATCTTCAAATGTTCTGGACCAAATTTACTATAATAATGATAACTACTCTTTCAATATCCTGATCTTTTTAACTGCTGTACATCTTTTCATCTATTTCCATTTCCCTTAGGTAGAGTGCAGGCTAAGAAATCATCGGACCCATTTTTCAATACTATATATCATCAGAAACAATTTTGATAATCATATTATTAGTGTGCATAACCCTTACCTTCAGATCTCTGCTAAAAGAGTCACCTAAATGTCCTGCTCTTGTTCATATGCTCTATTTATATCTGCAAATGTCAAAAATTCTAAATGAAGTGTATGAGCCTTGCTTGATAAAGAGAGATGGCTCTCTTTTGCAGAAAGCAAAAAAAATAGTTAACGATGTCTTAGGATCTACTTAAAACCGATCTCCAAGATTCTGTAAAAAATGTTCTTTAGTTAATTCAGGCAATGCACATTTGTATCCTGGTTCAGGAACAGTTTTTTAATCTATGATTATTTGGGAGAGAATATTAGATTTATTACCTTTGCTAATGAACACTTAGATAAAAGTGATATTCTCAAGATAAGTATTCTCATGAGATGAACTCATATTACCATATATTAATTTTCATTTTAGTTCACAATTACCTAAAGAATGAACCGAGTGTCTTTTACATATAGAAAATGGGACCCCTCCAAAGTACACTCTGCCATAATTTTCAAGTGTACCTGTCACTTTTATAATGTCACATATCAGTAGAAACAGAATTCATCATCATGAAAGAAATTTCAGGGCTTTCAAGAAGCAATGGATGAAACTAAAAGACCCAGTAATTAAACCTCAGTTCTTTCAAATATGTGTTAGCTCTGTTTCAGTGGGACTAGGGGAACTGACTTTGAGTGGTCAGTGAATTGGTTGATTTTTCCCTTTCCTGTATATTCTATATTCAAGAGAGTCCTTTACTGGAAGAGACATTTTTCAAAAAGAGAATATCAAATACTCAGAGACAATATGAATAAGTGGTCAACATTGATCGTTATCAGGAAGGAAATGCAAATTAAATTTACAATGACATACTTACTAGTACACACCACCAGCTAGGGCAAAATTCAAAAGACTAATAAAATCAAGTTTTTACAAGAATATGAAACGAATGGAACTCTTACACTTTGCTGGTGAGTGTAAGGGAGTATAATTTTGTAAAACTGTTTATCAACTTAATTTATAGTTAAACATATACTTACCCTAGGTATTCTACTTAGACATATACATATTTACAGTAGAGAAATAAAAATGTATGTCCATTTTTTAATTTATTTACAATTGCCCAAAACTAGAAAACAAATTCAAATATCTATCACAAGATTATGGACAGAAAAATTGTGATTTATTCATCAGTAGAATACTACTCAACTATAAAAATGGCCAGTTCACGCTAGGTAATGGGGACTTCAAGAGACAGGGCAGATGTCCCCAGAAAATCCAACAAGGAGGTTCAGGACTCTTATCTCTTACCTTGTTCCAATTCATTCAAATCTTTTGAGTTTCCGCTCACTCAGAGATACTGGCCCCTGTCTCCCTCTCCGGCCTCAATTTCCTACACACATGCAGCATTTCCCACGGGTGTCCTGACTCCTGCCCATTAAGACACCCACAATTCCCTAAATGTGCCATATATCCTTGTATCTCCCTACCTTTTCTGGTATTGTTGCTCCATGGACCATTAATTCTTTTTACTTCTCTCTAGATCTTGGTTCTTCAAGATCTACAGGGAAAACAGCCAGTTTACTGATATGCATAACAACATGATGAATCTTAACACATATTGAGTGAAAGAAGCCAAACACAAGTGAGTATGATTTTATTTATGTAATTTTAAAGAACAGACAAAATTAATCAATGGTAATTGTAGTAGTTTGCTAGGTCTGCCAAACACTGCAGGATGGATGGATTAAATAACAGAAATTTATTTTCTCACATTTCTGGAGGTTAGAAATTCAAGATTAAGGTGTCAACAGGCTTTCTTTCTGAGGTTTTTTTCCATGGCTTGCAGACAGTCGCTGGCTTCTTGCTATGTCCTCACATGGTCATTCTTCCATCTATGCTAGCTGTGTCCTACTCTTCTCCTCTTCTAGTATTGTATTCGAGCCCATAGTGGTTATCTCATTGCTGTGAGTGGGGACACAAGAAAAGAGGTATTAGGGAACGATCCTTTCATGGTGCAGGAAATATTCCATGTGATGATTTGAATGGTGAATATATTTGTATATATATATGTAAAAATTAATAGAATTTTACTTGTTTTTATTTTTTGAGATGGAGTCTACCTCTGTCACTCAGGCTAGAGGGCAGTGGAATAACCTTGGCTCATTGCAACCTCCGCCTCTGGGTTACAGCGATTCTCCTGCCTCAGCCTCCTGGATAGCTGGGACTACAGGCACGTGCCACCATGCCCCACTAATTTTGTATTTTTCGTAGAGATGAGGTTTCACCATGTTGGCCAGGCTGGTCTCGATCTCCTGACCTTGAGATCCACCCTCCTCAGCCTCCCAAAGTTCTGGGAGTACAGGTGTGAGCCACTGCACCTGGCCTATTTTATTTTTTTTAGACAGGGTCTCATTCTGTCACCCAGGCTGGAGTGCAGTGGCATAATCATGGCTCACTGCAACCTCTGCCTCCCAGGTTCAAGGGATTCTTGCACCTCAGCCTCCTAAGCAGCTGGGATTACAGATGTGTACCATCACACCTGGCTAATATTTGTAGTTTTAGTAGAGACAGTGTTTTCACCATATTAGCCAGGCTGGTCTTGAACTCCTGACATCAGGTGACCCATCCACCTCAGCCTCCCAAAGTGTTGGGATTACAGGCGTGAGCTATGACACTCAGCCAATAGTATTGTACGGGTTTTTTTCTTTTGTTGTTGTTGTTTTGAGATGGAGTCTTGCTCTCTCACCCAGGCTGGAGTGCAGTGGTGAGATCTCGGCTCACTGCAACTTCCTACTCTTGGGTTCAAGAGATTCTTCTGCCTCAGTCTCCTGCGTAGCTGGGGTTACAAGCACCTGGCATCACAGCCAGCTAAATTTTGTATTTTTAGTAGAGACGGGTTTTCATCATGTTTGTTAGATTGGTCTCAAACTCCTCACCTCGTGATATGCCCACCTTCGCCTCCCAAAGTGCTGGTATTACATAAGCCACTGCACCCGGCCAGAACTGTATGTTTTAGAATAGTATATCACTTTATATATGTAGGAATTACTCAACAAAACAAAATTAAAGATACCTTCAGTATCTTGATGGATAACATTCCTGAGATTATAGTTATGGTGTCTTGATATTCATTATTCAATGAAACATCAATACCTATTCATTAACTTTAACACTACCAGATGTTCATTCATAAAACAAATATTCATTGAGAATTTACTAGGTGATATGACTTGGGATGTATATATAAAGGCAGCTTCCACAAGTCTTGCAACATTTAACTGGAAGAATTTGGAAGAACTTGGGGAAAATCTTACTTTCATTTCTGCATCCAAATTTGCACTAGTCTTACCTCTTAAAAGTTGAGGGGAAGATCAGGTGTGGTGGCTCACATCTGTAATCCCAGCACTTTGGGAGGCTGAGCTAGGTAGATCACGAGGTCAGGAAATTGAGACTATCCTGGCCAACATGGTGAAACCCCATTTCCACTAAAATACAAAAAATTAGCCAGGTGTGGTGGCATGCGCCTATAGTCCCAGCTACTTGGGAGGCTGATGCAGGGGAATCGCTTGAACCCAGGAGGCAGATGTTGCAGTGAGCTGAGATTGTGCCATTGAACTCCAGCCTGGTGGCAGAGCATGACTCATTCTCCAAAAATAAAAAAAAAGTGGGGGAAAAATTCGTTGAACAGAAAACATCAGTTTCTTTTTTTTTAAATAAATTTGTAATTATTTTAAAATATTAAATATTCCTAAGATAAGAAGAAGGGGAAATAAACCTTTTTCCTAAATCATATATTTAATAATATGATAAGATCAGACTTAAAAGAGATAATGTTTCATGTTGAAACAAATGGTTTACAATCTATATAATTAATAGTGTCCATGCAAGTTCTTATTCTAATGGTAAATGAAAGTACCCTACATCTGTATTTTGCCTGAAGTTGAACATTCTTTATTAAGTTTAAACAAATGGAGCCCAATAAGGTACTGGTAAATTATAACATAGCAGATAAGTCATTTATAATAATACCTTCTTAAAATTCTTTCCCACACATGTAGTATTGTTTCAAAGGCAGGCAATATGTCCCACAGACTCTTAGTTATGTTTAACATATGACAAATAGGAAAAGGAAAACAGCTGATTTAAAAATATATTAGCCCACTACTTCTTAAATAGAAACATAGATATCCAGGAAATGTAACATGTTAACATAACTGTGAACTCTAGGACTTCAAGATATACTACTTAGGCAGACTATTTCTACTCAGTAAATATTGCCTCACCAAAGGAAGAAAAAAGATCCATCTTTAATAAAAAAAAAACAGATAATTACAAATAATCTCCCAAATGCATAATTTCTTATTTTCTTCTACTCATTGACATTTTTATGTGTCCAATTAAGCAAAACAGCTAAAAGCAGTCCCTACACACACACACACACACAAACACACACACACACACGCATGAAAAGAAGAAAAGGGGAAGAAATGAAAGCAGTATCAAAAAATGGGTAACCATTCTTTTAGTTAAAATACTAATGTCAGCAAAATAGACAATAGGAAATAATTTACCATTACTACTGTTTCATATTTCAGTTCTTACTGCAATTTAGGCAAAACCTCCCATTACAGGCTTCATGCAACATATATTTGTTGAACACTCATGTTTCAACCAATACTCTAGGTACAGTCTATACAGTAGTGAAAATAAATTTACTGTCTTCATAGAGGTTACAAGCAAGTGTGATTAAAGATATATTATAAGGCCGGGCGTGGTGGCTCAAGCCTGTAATCCCAGCACTCTGGGAGGCTGAGGCGGGTGGATCACGAGGTCAAGAAATCGAGACCATCCTGGTCAACATGGTGAAACTCCGTCTCTACTAAAAATACAAAAAATTAGCTGGGCATAGTGGTGTGTGCCTGTAATCCCAGCTACTCGGGAGGCTGAGGCAGGAGAATTGCCTGAACCCAGGAGGTAGAGGTTGTGGTGAGCCGAGATCGCGCCATTGCACTCCAGCCTGGGTAACAAGAGGGAAAACTCCATCTCAAAAAAAAAAAAAAAAAAAAAAAAAATATATATATATATATATATATTGAACAATTTATATATGTGTGTATATATATCCCATATCATTTCATATATAATATTGTAAATGATATGGGTTATATATACACACATATATAAATTGTTCACTAGTCCTATGGAAAAATGTTGATGAAATACTTCAAATAATAAATCAGAGTAAAGGGATAGAGAAAAACAAATGGGATGGGAGGCAGTTTTACATGGGAGTGTAGGGGTCTGAAAAGTTATCTTTGAGAAGGTGATATTTTGAGTTGAGACATGGGTGAAAATGAGGAATTAAGCCAAGCTATGACAAAATCTTAGAGAATAGCATTTCAAGCAAAGGAAACAGCAAGTGAAGACGCTCAGAAAAAGAAATGTGTGCATTTTTTCTGAGGACCTGCCAGAAAGGCAGTATGATTGGAACAGAGATTGTAACTTGAAAAACAACCATGAAGGCATTGAGATATCAGAAGGCTAGATGATGAAGGCCTTCTGTGTCATAATAAGGACCCTGGAATTTGTATCTCAGTGTGATGGGAGAACACTTAGTGTTTCTGACAAAAACTCAACAGTTTTAAAAACTTCACTGTGTTTAAAGTGAGTAGAGTCAACTAAGGGGAATGAAAGTTGAATCCTCAAGAACGGTCAGGAGGTTATTACAGAAATAAGGTGCTGGTAGCTTTATTAGATCAGTAGTGGGGGAAGGTGGGGGACAGGATGCATAACAAATACGAAACTGAACAGACTGGAAGTATGAAAAAAAGACAGGACTCAAGGATGATTCCAAGACAGTTGAGCTTAGAAACTGGATGAATTTTTACCGAGGTGGGAAAAAGCAGGGGGGGACAATAGCAAACAGATGATGGAAATCAAGAGGTGGTTAAGGACATCCTAACTTGTAAAGGCCTATTAGACATCAAAGTAGAAGTACTGAGTGGAAAATGTGATGCACAAAACAATGAAGCTTAACAGGAATGTAGAAAACTGGAGATTATGTATATAGGAGTCGTGATGTTTGATTAGATTCAAAGTCTGAGGACCAGGAGAGATTGCCCAGCAAGTGGGTATAGTATTCAGATTCCTTTCAGTGAATTGCATCTTCTCCCTTCTATATCATGCGGTTGGAATGATATTGAACCCAAACTGAAATTCCCTGGCTTGAGCAATTCAGAAATCCCATCTGTTTAGCTACCCAATGAATTCAGGGATGGATCAAGATCTGATTTTTGTCTATGAGAAAAGATAAAATTCAGAGAAAAACTTCCTTTATTTTCTGTAAAAGCTACCAAAAAAGAGGTACTCTTTAGAAGGAAGCCCATATTAAAAAGTGAAAAAAACTAGCTACTCAGGGTAATCAGTGATCAATCATCAGCTGAAGTCAGCGTTCTCTGAACTTTGGATATGAGAAAACCAATAAGAATCTTATCTCAAGCAGATGTTTTGGTTGTTTTTATTAAGTTTTAAAAAACCTGAGACCACAAACAGAAAGAAAGGTAAAAAGGAAAGGAGAGAGACAGGAAGGAAGGGAGGAAAGAAAGAAGAAGTTCTTCAGTCTGAGAAGCACAAAATAAAAATAAACAGAGAAATGTATTTGTTCACTCGCTAAAGGAGCTGTTCCAGGTATTTTTTGCATAACCTACTAATGTCACATGGAAGGACTGAATGTTTAGAAATTTGATCCCTCTGGTGCTTAAGGTACCTACCAGAAAAGATCTTACACGTCTCCATTTTACACATTAAAATTGACACCAGTGCAAGTTGGTTGCTTGATCAATATTGCATTTTCTTACTGCTATCAGGCACCTCTTGTCAGAACCATATCTCTACTGTTGAAACTCACTTCCTCAAGTCACTTTGAAAAGAGTGATCAAGGCATTGCAACCCTTCTGAGAATC